TGAATGTCCTTTACATAAATTGTCTTCCTTTGTTCGTTACTAATTATGCCTCTTCTTGTTTACCTAAATAAAACGGTAAATTCTCACTTCCTTGGGTAAAAACCTCTCACTTCCTTGGGTAAAAACCTCCGAGAGGTAATATGATTCGAAAATGTCGAGTAAAGCTACTGGTAGGATTGATCTGTGATGTAATATCACAGTAGAAGAACAAGGGAGAGTCGATGAATGGGAGGTGAGGGAGTTACTTATTTGGTCTTGCCGTACCAGTTCAAGTCCACTATTAATAGATGTTGTCCGCATTGGCTCGTTACGTATCGTTGTCAGCCTCATGGTTTTAAAATGCGTCTGGCTGATGACGAAGCGTAACAGGCCAAAGAGAACAATATCTGCTAGTGGTGGATTTAGTTTGTTACAAATGGTATCAGAGCCAGATACTGAGCGATGTGTCAACGAGGACGCTGGTCCTCAAGAGGAGTGGATTGTGAGATCCCACTTCGGTGGGAGAGAGGAACGGTTTTAAAATCATGAGAATGACGACGATAAGTAACGGGCCAAAGCGGACATTATCTGCTAGTGGTGGGTTTGGATTGTTACATATATCCATTACATGAATGAAATGATCGACTTTAAGATTGAAACTCCAACCAACTTGTATTTCTAAATAGAAGGAAAAATAACAATAAACGTGACCGAGGAAAATGATTGTGACACTTTTACTCTATATAATTGTTCTCGTTACTCCATTTTTGTAACGTTCATACATCCATTTATTCACCATTGTACACTTTTACGATATTACTAGTACCATTTAGAGTTCGTCATCAATCATCTTATTTCCTCTGCCACCATAGTCAAATCTCCAACTCCTATCTTGTCAATTGCTGCATAAAATGTGCCCACCATAACATCAAACAAGTTATAATAACGACGAAATTATGTCTAGGTCTATCAGTCTCGAATTATAAGGAGGATCAAGTAGTCGTCAAATCTTCTCCGATCAAATATTGTAATTGTTTTTACTACATGGTTTTCAATGCAATTGACTTTCAACTAATGATTTTGCTCGGCACTTTTTATAAAATATTTTCTCCCAAATTTTGGGTCGAAGACTATGAAATAAGATTTTTAGTGCTACCTTATTGGTCCGGTTTTCATCTCAGTCATTTTCTATTTTGTTTTTGTCTTGCAAAATCACCAAAATCTCATTTATTTTTGGAATTAATTTAATGATTTCTATCATTAATTCACAAAAGAAAAGAAAAGGCAAATTTTTAAAATCTTTTATTTTCCCCCTCGATTCCATAACCGACATGTCGGGATAATAACCATTTGAAGTCACAACCCCATAAAATATAAATATATATATTTTCTATACGGAACCAACAAAACTATTCACTTCAATTAATTCTTTATTTTATTTTTTACTTTATAATATTTTATAAATTAACACCAATTTCTAAAATAGAAATTCCATTTTTATTTTCTTCCCCACTTTGCCCCTTCCTCTCTCTCTCTCTCTCTCTCTCTCTCTCTCTCTCTCTCTGTGTGGAGAGATGTCGCCATCTCTTCCACTTCACTTCCTCTTCACAGTAGCTGTAGCTCTCACATCTCCAGTAGCCTCCCATTTCTCTTCTTCCACCTCCTCGCCGTTGCCGGAGTCAGCTCCGTCTCTCTCCGACTGGAGATCTGCTCGGGCCACCTACTACGCCGCCTCCGATCCTCGTGATGCGGTCGGCGGAGCATGTGGATATGGCGATTTGGTGAAGGCAGGTTATGGCATGGCGACGGTGGGGCTCAGTGAGGCGCTGTTCGAACGTGGCCAGATCTGCGGTGCCTGCTTTCAGCTCCGGTGCGTGGAGGACCTCCGGTGGTGTATTCCTGGCACTTCTATTATTGTCACTGTTACTAATTTCTGTGCACCTAATTATGGCTTCACGGCTGACGGTGGAGGCCGTTGTAATCCTCCTAATAAGCATTTTGTGCTCCCTATTGAAGCGTTTGAGAAGATCGCTATCTGGAAGGCGGGAAACATGCCTGTTCAGTATCGGAGGTATGTGTTCCGTACCTTCTTTCTTGCATTTTCCTTGTCTATCACTTGGAAGATCTGGTTTATTTGATTGAGGATCGAAATTGGTTCAACTGTGAGATCTGTGCTCGCTCTGCTAATTTCTCGAGTTTTTCTCGTTTGTAAACAATTGAAATTGCGTTTATATTTCTTGATCTTGTATGTTTTATTTTTAAATTTCATTGTATAATTCTGCTGGACTGTAGTATCGGGGAGTTTGTTTGTTTCATGAATCAATGTATGATTCAGCCTAAATGTCATAGACTAATGAAGATAGTTATCCTTACTTCTACACCTATAAACTTCCTCTTCTAGCCAATGTGGGACATAGTTCATATTTCCGACAGTGGTGATGATAATCTTCAACTAGTTTCCTTCTCGATTGAGAATGAACTCACAGAAATCAGTTTGTTGGTTCTATATATGTGCTTTGTTTATGCTGACATATTCCATGTGATTGTTCAGTTGGCCTAAGAGTAAGGCAACAAAGATAGAGAAGTTCTTTAGAATCTTTCTTTGTAGATGGATCGAACTGCAAAGGTAGTCATCTAGTGATTTCGTATATGGTTTCCCTTTCCTTTAGAAGAGGTGGTTTGGATTCAGGAAATTTAAGAAATAGGATCTTGATTTTAAATGGCTCTGGTGCTTCCCCCAGAAGAGTAATTATCTTTGGTACTAGACCATCGACAGAGAGCGGTAAAGACCCTCTTGTTTGGATATTTCTACTTGGAGAGCTAGCGAAGCAGAAACGCACGGTTTTCTTTTTCCACTATCAAGTGCCAGTATCAGATTGATTCCTTCTCTAATTTTAGGTTTCGTACTGGTAGTTCAGTTAGAACTTTCAAGAACCCTTGGATTGACTGTGATTCGATTGCGCCTAAGCTTCCATGTACTTTGGCTCGTCGTAATTCTTAGACAAAATGATGCAAGGCTACTGAAATAGAAGTTGTTGGGGCCTTAAATTTGCAGAGTCCTTAGACATTTGGTGTTGAGAGAGATTCGAGCAAATACACACATCTCGCTGTAGCCCTTGCACAAGAGAGAGTTAATACTAGCAATCAAGTTTTACCATTATGCAGATCTCGTGCAAATAGTGCATAAGATTCAAAAGAATGATGATAATTCGAGTCACATTTTTTTGTATATTCGCTGCCGAGGGTTGAGTGTGTCTGATATGAGATTCTCTCTATTTTTCATTGGAGTGAGCCTTTCACTATTTAAGATCTTTTGGACCAGCCTCTTTATGGCCATACGTTCAAAAAGGAAGCTAAAGTTATAAACAAAATTACAAGGTAGTTACATCTGAACTATGACAGGGAAGAAAGAATAGAAATTTCTCCAGCTTCCTTGGAACTTCTGATGTGGTTCTTGACTTGATGAAATTGGTGGCTTCTTTGCAAAGTTCTTTCTAACAGTACTTTTTTGCTTTGTCCAAAGCCAGAAAATGATTTGTTCAATATTATAGATCACCAGTTAAGGAGGGACCATTTTGTTTTTAGCCAATGAGAGTAGCTTCTTAGTGAATTCCCTCCCTTGGTGTGGATATCTCATCTTTTTCTCCATTTTACGCCAAATGATAGTACATTAGAACTGTGAGACTATACCAAATATGGTCCGGTCCTCAATTTCGGGCGGAGTCATAACCTTTGTTGATCTGGCTTTTGTAGGATCAAATGTCGAAAGGAGGGGGGCGTTCGATATACGATTTCTGGGTACGGCATCTACCTCTCAGTGTTGATAAGCAACGTTGCAGGCGCTGGAGATGTCAGCGCTGTAAAGATCAAGGGCTCAAGAACCGGTTGGCTTTCGATGGGTCGAAATTGGGGTCAAAACTGGCACATTAACGCCGATTTGAACAATCAGGCCCTGTCCTTTGAAGTCACTAGCAGTGACGGAGTAACAATTACGTCCTACAATGTTGCTCCAAAGAATTGGAACTTCGGACAGACTTTTGAAGGCAAACAATTTGAATCTTGAAATATTTCCACCGTTGCAATTTTGGTCTGTAAAAGTTCTAAAGCAGTTTACATTCTCTCCAGTTAGGTATATACAACAAAAGGGTTTTAAGAGTTTTAGCCGAAGGGTAATAGAATTTGATTTTGATTTCTTCATCAAGTGCACAAGAACAGTGCTCCTCTAAATGAGGTTTTTGGATAGTATGGTGCAATTAGATCTAGTTAAGGATAGCTTTATATATTGTATTCTCCATAATTTAATCTTCAAGAGGGGGTTCCCTTAGAAATTAGAGGAGCTAATGAGGTCAAATTTCTATCCATTTTTTATGAAATTTGAAAGATGAATTAGAAACCTTTCTTTTCAATCTAGATGTCAACGAGCACGAGGTAGAGCAACGATAGACAAGCCTTTTCCGTCTCCATCCTCACCTCCTAGGGGTAAGAGGGGTCAGGAACCCTGTTACCCTGTCTTTGACCTTGAGGATGGAGAAACCTTCCCTATCTCCATCCTCACCTCCTAGGGATAAGAGGGGTCAGAAACCCTGTAATCCCTGTCTTTGACCTCGAGGATGGAGAAGTCTCCGTCTCCATCCTCACCTCCAAGAGGTAAGAGGGGTTAGGAACCTTGTAACCCTGTCTTTGATCTCGAGGATGGAGAAGTCTTTCCTGTCTCCATCCTCACCTCTTAAAGGTAAGTTAAAGGTAAGAATGGTTAAGAACTCTATAACCCCGTCTTTGATCTCGAGGATGGAGAAGCTTTCTCTGTCTCCATCCTCACCTCCTAGGGGTAAGAACAGGGAATGTAATCCTCGTCCTTGACTCCATTTAGTTAACGGGAAGAAATCTCTCTCCATTCTCTCTTCATTTTCCATTTAAATAAAAATTGTTTACCCCACAAATTAAATAGATACGAGTTTCATGGATTAAATAAATATCTATATAGAAACATACGGTAGACTATAACAGCTTAGACGATAAATTATAATATATGAAAAGTGAATTCTTCTAAATTACTATACTACAAACAAACATTGTGAAACACAATTATTTGGAAGCATTAACACAAATAAAACAAAAGGCCAAGTCATTGTAATCATAATTTCATTCATTATATATACACTTCCTTGTTGGGCCGTCCCTATACTCTCCATTATTTCAATTACTACAATGTTCTTCTCACAAAGCTTTGAGTTTATTATCAATTTTAGTCCCTAACTTTCATTTCTATCTCAATTTAACCCCTATACTTTCAATTATTTACACTTAGTTCTCATCTCTATATAAACATCTTCATCTTCCTCTCAATTTACAAGCATTCAACCCAAAAACAGAGAGAGAGAGAGAGAGAGAGAGAGAGAAAGAGGAGCCTTTTGAAAGAGGGAGAAAAAGGTAAAATGTCCAAAGATGAGATCATAATTTTGGATTGTATCCTAAGTCCATTTTGCATGAGGGTTAAGATTGCTTTAAATGAGAAGGGAGTGAGCTATGAGAGCAAAGAAGAGGACTTGTTTGGATGGAAAGGTGGCAAAAGTGAGCTATTGCTCAAATCTAACCCTATCCATAAGAAAGTCCCTGTTCTCTTGCATAATGGTAACCCACTTAATGAAAGCTCCAACATTGTCACCTATATTGACGAGACATGGCCTTCTTCTTCCCCTCTTCTTCCATCTTCCCCCTACGAAAGAGCTCGAGCCCGCTTCTGGATCGACTACATCGACAAAAAGGTTCGTGTTCTTCATAATCCAACCATGTATTTCATGTCTTATACTCGAAAAACTTACTAATTTTTGCGCTTGGCAAGGTGTTCGAGACGGGTGGCAAGATTTGGAGGAGCAATGGAGATGAACAAGAGGCAGCCAAGAAGGAGTTCATTGAGATTTTGAAGCAATTAGAGGAAGCTTTAGGGGATAATGATTTCTTTGGAGGAGAAAGGTTTGGGATTGTGGATGTGATTGCTATCCCATTCAGTTGTTGGTTCTATGCTTTTGAGAAAGTTGGGGGCTTTAAAGTGGAAGAACATTGCCCAAAGCTATCAAATTGGGAGAAGAGGTGCTTGTTGAAGGAGAGTGTGGGTAGTGTCATTCCTAGCCCTGACATGGTGTATGGGTTTGTGAGCTCCATGAGGAACAAGCTTGGGCTTGAATAGAAACATGTTGTCAAAGACAAATTGTTGTTTTTCACTTTGAATGGTGGGTTTTGTGTGTTTGTGTGGAATAATGAGCTTGAATTGTGAAGCTTTTCATAGATTTGGTGGGCTCGAATTTGTGTATTGTTGTGAACTATGTGAGTTTTATGGCTCATCTTCTCATTCTCAATTTGGTGTGTTAAATTATATACATCTAACACACAATTTGTAATGACTAATCATTTCACTTAGTTGAGATATAAACTCACTCCACCCTCGGTTGATTTCTTATGTTTTTTTGGTTGAGCTCTACACCTATTTACACGCAAAGATATTTGTTTCACTTGTGAGTTCGAGACCCATGAGAACTTGTCCTCAACGAGGTGAGAAATCTTCATTTGAATGGGAATGAGAGAGGGGGAGGGAAGAGATTTCTCCCTGTTAGCTAAGCGGGGCTAGAGTCGAAATCTTCATTTGAACGGGAATGAGAGAGGGAGGGAGAGAGATTTCTCCCTGTAAGCTAAATGGAGTTATAAATGAAATCTCTATTTGAACTGGAATACGAGATAGATGAGAAAATTTTCCCTATTACCTAAACGAGCCAAAGATGAAATCTTCACTTAAAGGTGAATGCGAGAGGGAGAGGGGAGAAGTTTCTCTTTGTTAACTATATGGGACCAGAGATGAAATCTCCATTTGAACGGGAACGAAAGAGGGAAAGGGGAGAGATTTCTCACTGTTACCTACATGGAAAGCGTTCATCGTTCATCATCTGTTCCTCTCCTGGTAGGCATCTTTATTTACAAATTTTTCGTCCACGATCCTCATTCCTACCTCGTGGACATCGAACGTACATCATAATGAATAATTGATGAGCATAACCCGATTAAATTATATCTTCATTTAAAAATCTTAAACATAAGAAAAGCATATACAATTTGATCCTTCTTAAAAGAAATTAAATAGGGAGCATAGTTAAGTTTCCCAACATCGTAATTCACAAAGATTCATCTTTTTTTCCAAATTTATTTTAAAATATGTTTGCAACAACCTTTCCTTTACCCTCTAAGCTTCCTTAATTTAATTAAATATTATGACAAAATAATAATAATAAATAAATAAATAATAATAATAATAATAAAAAGAAAAAAAAAAAGGAGCTGTCACCAGGATTTCTTTCGGTGGCAGCTTCAAGGCGCTTGACATCATTTAATTAATTAATTAATTAATTAATATCTTATTATTTTTTTGGCTATATAAAATATTCCAAACTTCTTCCATATACCTTTACATAATAATAATAATAATAATTTATTCTTCAAAATAATAATAATTATTATTATATTATTTCATGGGATGAGAATTGAAATATACGAGATGAGTGTGAAAACGCTATCGTATTTTTTTTTATCAAAATAATAAAATTTAAATTCAAATTTCAACGATGGGAGCAAAACCCTAATACTGAGTCATGCACTATAGCTATCACATCGGATTATTTATGTGGTCGAGATCTATGTGATGGCAATATCCTTTGAAGTCAAACAGAAAAGTTAAGACCATGGATAGTTCATAATTCCATAATTCACTTACTCACTTATTCAATTCACGATCATATATTCAAAGGAAAGATTGATTATGAACGAAGAACGGTATTTGAAATAAGAAAAATGTGATATTTGAGGTCGGTATAATATAAGTATATTAGTATATTATATTATATGAGTTTGGAAAGATGAGCAAGTTATGTATATGTAATGCGTAGGTTATGGTGAAACAAAAGATGCCATTTTTGGCACAACGTTTTAATTTTGGAGTCTTCTATTTCTTTTTATTATTTATTATAACATTATTGGTCTTGTTTTCATTCACACCATCCCTACGTTATAGCCCATAGGGACACCATAGATTCTTTGCCTTCCCATATATATATTTCTATTTAATTTTTAAATATTTTGAAAAGACAACAAAACAACGAAACAACGAAACAGATATTGTCTGTTTTGGCCCATTACATGTCATTGTTTGCCTCACAGTTTTAGAATGAGGTTTCCATACTCTAATAAGGAATGTTTCGTTCTTTTTTTCGACTAATGTGGGATCTTATAATGGGTCATTCTTTTCTTTGCAATGCTCTTTTCATTTTTTGTTTTTCAAACGAGTTTGTAACGAGTATATTGTCTTATGTTAAGAACTTTTAGGTTATAATTTGTTGAGGAAAACAAAATAATATGCCGAATATACGAAGTTAGGGACATGAACCTATGAAAAACTTTAGGGTTAAGGATATTATTAGTAGTGGCAATATGAACATTTAAGGCAATTGAAGCAACTAGTTATATTATTTGTGGTCTAAAGTTGTCTCGAGCTTTTATTGGACCAAATCAATTATAGGGTTCCCTTTATGCTCCATACGAAAACCCGTCATGGCATACACATTCATTTCGAGCTACCTTCGTATATCCAATTAACATAACATATCGTCTTTCAACATTTCGATAATGGTTTGATTTGTTGCCTCTAATCTTACTTATTGCCTTAATTTGGCTTTTATGCACACTCTTCTTCGTGCGTTGGATGATCCATTGCCCTCCTCAATCGCATCACGACACTTATCAATCTCGACCCTCACGTAGTTCGACGAACATCACTCGCTTGTCGCCAGGTCACAACCTACTCTTTCTTAGTACAATTATAATCCATACTCTTTTTTTCATGAAGAACACTGTCAAAGTCTGGATGTAAATTGGATAGATTAATGTCTCCTTTTGTGAGATCCTACATTGATTGGAGAACAGAACGAAACATTTCTTATAAGGGTCTCCATAGCAGACGTGTTTTAAAACCGTGAGGCTAACAACAATACGTATCGAGCAAAAAATGGATAATATCTATTAGGTGTAGGCTTGAGTTGTAAACACCTTTAACCTAATCGAGAAGTTATTATAGGACATGACACGTACTACATTGAATAGTTTGGTCATCCATTATTCAACGCCCGACTTCTCTCTTTGGATAAGGTCGATGTTTCTTTTTTTAGTTACTTTACGTTAAACGTTAAATTTGTCAGTTTGAGCATGATTTAAACAATTAAAGTATCGATAATCTGATCTATTAGTCGAGAGTTTAAATTCTCGTAATTTTTGTAATAAAAAAAAAATTCATAGATATAATTATTGGAGAAAAGAAATTAAAGAAAAAGAAAAGGAGTTAGATGAAGACATAAAGGGGAAAAGCACAAAAAAGGTTGATTGATGAAATGGAAAAGCATTGATTGGGAGAATTTGGAACATTTCCATTTCCCAACCATAACTAACTTCTATTTTACACATCATCCTCTTCTGCCACGTGGCTTTTCTTCACGTGGACAAAGCTGGCCCCACATGGCCCCCCATCTTCGCGCCACTCCGCTTTTTCTCTTCCTTCATTTTCTATTCCTCGCCGATCTTTTGCCGCCCAATTTTTTTATTTTTTATATTTTTTTAATTACGATTTTATCTAATAAATTTAATTCAACTTTTATCAATTAATTTTTTTTTTTTTTATAGAAATTTTTGAATTTTATGTATATAATTTTAAACGTGTTAAAAATATATCTAAATAGATGGAAGTGTAACGACCCATATCAAGGATTCAGATAAAGATTTGAATTTTGAATTCGACGCTTCATGACCTTAACATTCTCCTACATCCCGTACGACATGGTTATGTTACTTACTCTTCGCTTATTAAGAACGAAGACTATCCTTACAAATTAACACGAGTTCTTCTAGCATACTTAGTCCTCACTCACATGCATCTCAGACAAATTTTTGGGAGATAAATTAACATAGAATTCATCAAAGGAAAACATGTTTAGCCGTGGAGTTTTTATGATTGAGCCACTTAAAAGGATGGTGCATCTTGTTGATATATGTGGTGACTTTCAATTCTTTTAAATTTTTATTAGTCATTTTATCCTCAAGATCGCTCTGATTCAGATATAATCTCGGTTCATTCATGTACCTCTCATTTATCGGGAAGTGGAGGAATACCCAGTTATTGTGCATGATAATCAACCCGTTTTAAGTTATTAAAACATTATAGATTTATGTTATTAATTATTGTTATTAGATATATTAAACTTCCACATGGGTTCTTATGCGTATGATTGACTAAACAAATGGTGTCTCCTCGATTGGTGTGGCCAAGAGTAATAATACAACGTGATCATGTCTTTGCTTTTGCAGTAAAAATAAACCTATTTCAATATTAATTTCACAAACTTTTTTTTTTATTTCTAATTAACGTAACCGTTCAAGCTCACTACTAGTAGACATTATCTGTTTTGACTCGTTATATATAGTCGTTAATCTCATGATTTTAAAACGTGTTTATTAGAGAGAGATTTCTACACCCTTACAAGAAACGCTTCGTTCCCATCTCCAACCGATGTGGGATCTAAACCGTAAAACTGACGGCGATACGTAACAAACTAAACCTGACAAGGTGTAATCGAATATTTTAAATATACATACATAAATATTATTTTAAAATGACGTCATTATACATGGTTCTAATAATTAGGGTTTTGTTTCTTATTTTCTCGATGCCAGTGTCTAAATTCTTAGCTTGACGTTCCCACATTGTTGGCCATATGTTGCACGTCAATTCAAAGTCTAAACTCGATTCAATCAAGCGTATCGGTTTGAGCCTCAAGTTAACTCTCGATCCTAACCGATAGCTGAAAACCCTAGACTAAAACATATTTAGACCACAACTATAGTTTGATTGATGAAGGTAGCTCGATCAAAACTCGTAGTTTATTACCTTAACTAGAAGAGAACCTCTAAATGATAATTGAAAGAAAAGAAAGATATTAGAGTATATGGTGAAAAGAAATGAAAAACAAAAAAAGGTGGCGGTTTTTGGGATAATAAAATGGATCGGGAGAGACAAAAGAAAAGGGGAATGTGAAAGAGACAATAGTTGTCCAACAAGAGTGGATTAAGTTAAGGTGGTTTGGTTTGGTTTGGTTTGATTGTTCCTTGTACAACACAAATCCACGACAAAAAAAAAAAAAAAAAAAAAAAAAAAAAAAAAAAAAAAAAAA